TCTCTCTCTCTCTCTCTCTCTCTCTCTGTCATCTCTACTCTGTGTCTCTACACTAATACTACACACGCAAGAAAACATTCGACAGCGTATAACACACGCACGCACATACACACACGCGCGCGCGCGCGCGCGAAATATTATTGTAAACGCATTGTGGTTATATTTCAGTGTAATCAGCACAATGATACGATGTTTCCCATAGAATACACTTTACTTGGTTTTCTTTTTCTATTTGGCAGTATTTTATTTAAGCGCTTATTATTGTCGAATCGACTCATCGGAAGATGAGTTGACCGAATTTTGATATTTGGTAATTTGGTGGAAAAATAATGATAATGATAATGATAATAATAATAGCGATAACGATATTATTGATATTGATATTGACATTGATAGTGATATATTTTGTTAACGATATTATTTAAGATTATTTTTTACTGCAGAATACTAACGCCCTTTGAATATTGTTTCAATACTTGAAAATTTTTATGACTATTTTTTTTTTATTTATACACTCAATTATTTCTTTTTTTTTTTTTTTTTTTTTTAGATGGAACGTAGATAAGCGTTGAGAGTGCAGCAGAATTTAGGGAAAGAATAAAACGCTCTGTGTGAAAAGAATTGAATTCGCAAAGTGTTGGTTTGTCATTTTTGCGGGAACAAACGAGGAAATTGGCGCCAATTTTAAATTGGAACTTGTACCAAGGGCAGATGTTTGTAATTTCCATTTATTGCGAGTCTCCTTACAAAAGTTTGACTAATTTCCTTTGAACTTTTATTTCGAACTTTTAACTCGAACGAAGGACAATTGCTTCCCCCCCCCTTGCAATTGGTGGAAATTTTCTTCTTTCTTTTTTCTTACACGAAAATCGATCGATTTACAATCTGCGATCTATCACCTACTTCCTGCACAAGTATTACATCACGTCACGTTGCATTGTACGTTCCGAGGAAGTGCCATATTTTGAGAAGCGCAGAAACACATAATAGGTATATGATTGATAGTGAAATATTTTTCTAACGCACGCGTGTTGCCATAAGGGGGAAGGAAATTTTATAGAGAGTGTGAGCATCGATTCAAATTCAAACTCGAGGCGAACGAAAGTTCATGAAACATCACGTCTTCTGAAATTTAAATTTAATAATTTAATAATTTACGATAACTTGTTCTCCAGAATCGTAACTAGCTTTCGTTTGAAAACGAAAGAGCCAAGGATAAAATAATTCGGACGAAACCGATCGTGATGAAACTACCACAGTAGTTTCCCCGCTTAAGCGTCCGCGGTCGAGAGAATCCCTGTCAAGATCAATCACGATTGTTGCCGTTCTTGCGTATTTGCCTTGGGCGCGAAGGATCACCAATTGACATGGGAATGAAAATATAATTTCTCGACTTGACTTTATCGATTACTGAGTCTGGTGACTCCGATGCAAATCCTGCTTGGGCAAGAATGTTGTACAAAGTGAGACTAAATGTTGAGACTGACTCTGAATGTCTAACTGTGAATTAACTGTTCGTGACTGACTGTAACGAAAAACTATTTGTAACTAACTAACTCCTCCGAGTAGTTCTTCCCTTGTAACCTTCCTTGGGACTCGGAAGAATTGGAAAGATGGAGGATGTGTTTGAATCTGTTAGTCAGAAGTGTGATAAAAATTCCCAAATTTTCCCATCACCGCGAGTGACGTTTGGTTTGGGTGGCATTGTTCATTCGTTCCTGGAAACTATCTCGTTTTTTTGCACACTCCTTTGAGCACGTATTTATGACGTGGCGATCCCTGTGGCGTGGAGAATCTCTTCGCACTTCAGACCTAGACGTATGGGATACCTTGTCTGGGGGGAAGTACCCCTTACTCTGAATCTAATTGTAAATACAAAGATAGTTTGGACGTTCCTACACTTAGCACCTCCATGTCACAAGTGATACGTACCCTTGGTCCTAACAGTCCCCCCAATTACCAAGATTTGGGGATACTGACGGACGCTTAAGTGGGGACTAATGTACTAGCTTTCACTGTGATGCATCGCTGTAATCTCTCCTCTTTGATCCACACGATGTTTCGTTCGGTGATGTTCTGCATCGATCTAGAATTATCCACCTCGAGTTTAAAACCTAACCTAAACCTATGTCCAAAAACACCTATGTATACTTACATGTACATCTTCGTTGTTTCGTATCTTCGACCATATCTGAAAGAAGCAAACACGACTGCTATCCGATGTTTTTTCTCTGGATAAAATCTCTCGACCAACTGC